AGTAGGACTGGCAGCACGAAGAGAGTCAGACTCCGGGTCAGCAAGAGCAGGAGGAGAGGACTCTGGAGGAGACGGCAACGGGACACGCAGAGGAGCAGTGGAAGGACGCAGTGCCATCTGGTGTGTGCCCGGGACCGCGGGAGGACGCGGACGCGGAACACGACCACTAGTGCGAGCAGCACGAACAGGCGACGCAGGACGAGACACAGGCTCACGACGCTCAGCAAGACCTCCAGTAGGACCAGCGTAGGGAGAAGGAGCAGGCAGGGGGGAGGCGGGCTGTAACTGTGACTGCGACTGGACAGGCTGTGGACACCCTAAGGGAGGAGTAGGACCAGTAGAGGGCGAGAGACCAAGAACCTGCTCAAGGAGCGGAACGAAGTACGGCCGCGGCGCTCAACGCCTCCTGAAACAGCAGGGACAGCACCAGTACCCCCAGCGGCAGCACCAGCGCCAGCAGCACCTCTAGCTCCAGCAGCGCCAACTCCAGCACCCTCAGAAGTACCAGCGCCACAAGCACCTCCAGCGCCAACACCCCCAGCAGCTCCAGTACCTCCAGCACCACCCGCAGCACCTCCAGCAGGACCAACTCCAGTAGCCCCAGCAGCACCCCTAGTCCCAGCAGCTCCAGTACCGCCAGGACGAGCACCTCCAGGACCAGGGTCTCCAGTACCTCCAGCGCCGACCCCAGGGTCAGCAGCAACAGTAGCACCTCCAGCTCCAGCGCCGGGCAAACCACTCGCGCAGCTCCTGTGGAGAGGGTAGCTCCCGCCGAGACGAAGTACCCGAGGGACCCCTAGACCCAGCACCGCCAGAGGCCACACGAGCAGACCCAGTACCCCCAGGCTCCGCACCCCCAGGCTCAGCACCCCCAGGCTCCGCACCCCCAGGCTCAGCACCCCCAGGCCCAGCACCCCCAGGCTCAGCACCCCCAGGCTCAGCACCCCCAGGCTCCGCACCCCAAGGCTCAGCACCCCTAGCAGCACCAGAGTCAACAGCTACCTCGACAGGCTCGTCTGCGTCTACCTGGGACACACCTGACGGGGCAGGACCCTGAGGGGGGAGAGGGTCTACCGGGGGGGGACCTGGCGTAAGGAAGAGTGGCGGCGGGGGGAGGGGCGCAGTGCGGTAGGGGAAGAGACGGTAGTTAGGAACCCACTCGTCAAAGGTGACGTCCTGGGAGGACAGAACACGGCGCGAGGTGGGGTGGTAAAACTGCCAACCAGGCGCGTCAGGGGGGGAGCCAAGGAAGACGCAGGGAACAGCACGGGGGGACAGCTTGTCCGCAGACAAGTCGCGGACAACCGCCCGAGATCCCCAGACACGAAACGCAGATGCATCGCCAACCTTCCCCGTCCACCGCAGAGTAGGGGAGGTCTCCGGCAAGGAGACCCGGGGCTGAAGGTTGATCTGATGCGCCGCGTACTGAACCGCGAACGGCCACAGAAAATGGGGAGCAGCCGCATGGATCATGGACGTACGAGCGACGTCCATGACCATGCCAATGCGGCGCTCAGCAATCCCATTTTGCTGTGGAGAGGCCGGAAGCGTGAACGTCTGGCGGATGCCCTGTGCACGACAGAAGGCTCGCAGAAGGTCAGAGGAAAACTCACCTCCTCTGTCGGAGTGCAGACGCAGGACAGGAAAGTCCGAGCCGAAACTCTCTCTGAGCTGGAGACGAGCTGCGCGGATCCAGTCGATCAACACCTCAGTGGCCTCACCCTTGCTGCGCAAGGGGAAGACTGTGGTGTAACGCGAGTAGTCGTCAACCACCAGCAGGAAGTAACGCTCGTGACCCTGTCCACGGACGCGGGCTGGGCCCCACACGTCCATGTGAAGCGTCTGCAGCGGAGCCTCTGTCGGAGGAAACTCGGAGGAGTGAGGAGCGGCGCGCTGCCGCCCCTCGACGCAGGGAACGTAGGTGGGGGCAGGCCCCGGAGGAAGAGAAGGGAGGGACCGGGGGAGACCCGAGACAAGGAAACGAGAGGCCATGCCTCGGAGACGAGGCAGGGAGGGGTGACCAAGGCGGTGGTGCCAGAGGAGAGTCTGGTGAGACAGGAGACGACACGAGCAGGGGGCAGACTCAGGACCAGACCTGGACGCTGCAGCAAACACCTGACTCGACGCAGCCACCTGAGGAGACTCAGTAGTCAATGTGTACAGGCTCGACCCCAGCTGACGGGTAAACGTGGCCAAGTGTCGGCCCGTCCGAGCACACGTACAGTGGGTCACTCGCTGACGCGCAGGAGTGAACTGGTCAACCCCTCCATCCTGTAGGTCAGCACCACTCACCAAGTTCGTAGAGAACGAGGGGAGGTAAAGACCTGACAGGGAGCCAGAAGGGGCCGCCGGACACGGTAAGACAGTGGAGAAGTGGGCAAGGACAAGACCCTCAGAGGGGTCTGCCAGGGAGACTGCAACCGGCCGACTGATCGGCGTGAGTGTGGTGCGGTCTCGAAAGAAGGAGCGGGAAGCACCCGAGTCAAGGGTGAAGGTGTGTAAAACCTGAGCCGACGTGGTACCTGAGAAAGCAGACTCACCAGCACCTGGGGCAGCAGACTCACCAGCACCTGGAGGAGTAGACGCACTAGCACCTAGAGCAGCAGCCTCACCAGCACCTAGAGCAGCAGCCTCAATGCCCGGGTCAGGCGGAACACACAGGTAACAGTCACCCACATCACTAGTAGGCAATGCATACATGGAAGTGAGGATAGCATCATAGTCAAGAGCATAGATATCTACTCTCTGCCTAAGCAGCTCCACCCAGTCGGGGAGCTCAGCGGCGTCGCCAATCTCCGTACGCCAGGCGTCGCTCAGACGGGCGAAGCAGTGGGACTCTGCGTGACCAAACGTCCCGCAAGGCTGACCAGTCCGAGCACCAGTGCGAATGACGTACGGACAGCGAGCAGTACTCCGTGACCCTCCACGCTGAGCGTACCACTCACGAAGCTGCTGGGGCGAAAAAAACCGCGCGCGGACTACGCTGCAGCTGCACCTGGCCACTACAAGCAGCTCCCGAACTACTCACGCCAGAACGACTCTCACTACGGCCACCCCGACAACCCCAAGTATCGTACCACTCACGAAGCTGATGGGGGGCGAGGGACTCACGCGGACTTCGCTGGAGCTGCATCTGGCCACGCCAGGAGCAGCAGTAGCAGTAGAAAGAGCAGTAGTAGCAAGAGCAGCAGTAACAGCAGAGCTCACCAGTGGTAAGAAGGGCAGGAATACGACAGCGGTAATGGTGAGGCCGTTACCACCGCAGGGCGAGGGCTCCGCGGCTGCTGCAGGGACTGGTGCTCGAGAGGCCAGGGGCGGCTGCTGCAGGGGCGGCTGCTCCAGGGGCCAGGGGCAGCTGCAGCAGCGGCGGCTGCTCCAGGGGCCAGGGTGCCGCGGCGGGCAGGGGCGGCGGCGGCTGACACGGCAGCGGCGGCAGCGGCTGCTGGTGTCGGCGGCGGCGGCGGCTGCTGTTGTCGGCGGCGGCGGCTGCTGCTGGCAGTGGTGGCGGCGGCTGCTGCGGTCGGGGCAGGGGCGGCGGCGGCGGACACGGCAGCGGCGGCGGCGGCTGCTGCGGCCGGGGCAGGGGCGGCGGCGGCTGAGAAGGGGCCGCGGGGCCGCGAGGGGCCGTGAGAGGGGCCGCGAGGGGCCGCGAGAGGGGCCGCGAGGGGCCGCGAGGGGCCGCGAAGGGCCGCGAGGGAGCCGTGAGAGGGGCGGCAGCGGCTGAGAAGGGGCCGCGGGGCCGCGAGGGGCCGTGAGAGGGGCCGCGAGGGGCCGCGAGGGGCCGCGAGGGGCCGCGAGGGGCCGCGAAGGGGCCGCGAGGGGCCGTGAGAGGGGTCGCGAAGGGCCACAAGGGAGCCGCGACGGGGCCGCGAGGGGCCGTGGGAGGGGCCGCGAGGGGCCGCGAGGGAGCCGCGAAGGGGCCGCGAGGGGCCGTGAGAGGGGCCGCGAGGGAGCGGCTAAGGGGCCGCGAGGGGCCGTAAGAGGGCGCGACGGGCCGCTAAGGGCAGGGGACGCGACGGGAGGGCAGGCACACGGGGCGCGACTCGGGCAGGGGCGAAGCGCGCTCCGGGCAGGAAAAAAAAAATTCGATTTTCGGTGGGCCCTAGGAAACGTTCCCACTAGGGAACCTGCTCTATACCATGTGAAAGAATGAGGAATGAATGCACTGGCAAAACAGGTGGGTACAAGTAGGAAAACCTAAAAGTGTTGTACCCCATATTGTCTACCCCACTACAGCCTACACAGACTATAGCATATAAGTTTGACATGAGAGTATGGCGCCCGTTCTCATTTCCTATTTGCATTTCTATGCTGATTTCCTAGTTCTTTACTTTTACATTAGTTATTCTAGTTTTAGCACCGAAATAGGCTGCGTGCACCGAATTCCTATTTTTTGGAGTTATCTCGAGTGGTCTCGCGTGTGCGTGATTATCACCGAGTTTACTCTACCGAATTCAGCAAGGTTCGTTCCCGATGGATCCCGATGCATGAAACATTCGCGTAACATCCTAGTTATCTGCCTTGTATTGTAGTAATATGTAGCCATGTAGTTGTACCCAGGATTCATATTTTGATTTCTGAACTCAAGTATCGAACCTCACATGATGTTTGTTTAGTTCTACTATTGCGTACCTGAAAAAAATCTCTGATGCGAATCAAGCACTTAAGCAACAACTCTGATTTTCACTTGTGAAGCCTGAAGCTTCAGTATACGCATGTGTGCCTTCATAAATCAGGATATCATTTCTCTGAAAAGCGTACTTTCAGACAAGGGGGGGGGGAGGGGGGGGGGGGGGGGGGGGGGGGGGGGGGGTGTTTTTTTCTTATAGTTAGAGTAGCAAATTTTGAAACATCAACCCTGTGCGCAGGCGTCTGTGCATCAGGTGCGGGCGTTGGTGGCAGGCGCAAGCGCGTGCATAGCAGGCGCAGGGGGCGGTGGCTAGGGTGCAACAGGCATTGGCGGCGACGGCACGGGCGAGGCAGGCGCGGACGCGACAGGCATGGCAACGGTAGGTGCGGGCACTGGCGCAGTAGGCCCGATTGGTGGCGATGCATGCACGGCAGATGTGGGCGCAGCAGGCGCGTCAGCAGCAAGCGTGAGTGCGGTTGCAGTAGGTGAGGACGCAGGTGCAAGCATGGGCACCGCTGGTGCAGCCGCGCAAAGCATGTGCGCAGCCGTGGCAGGCACGTCGGCAGCAGGCGTAGGCGTAGCAAGTGCTAGTGCGAGCGCGACGGTAGGCTCAGGTGGGGCAACGGGGCCGCCAGGCGGGCTGCTAGAGAGGGGTGGGATGGGGGCCAGGCGGCACGACGGGGCCGCCAGGTGGGGCGCTAGGGCGGGGTGCGACATGTGTGTCAAATGATATATTTATTAATAGGCTTTAGTGAGGTGCTCCTTAGAGAGTACAACACAGTTAGGGCTCCATATTTGTATCTCCTTCCTTTCCTAATCTATCATTCCGTTGTTTCCGTTTATGAGATGGTATCACGAGTAGGTATTCGATCCTAACCTAGGTTAACCTGTCCCGCCCTGCCGGTTAGCGGACCGAGCCCCTTACCATTAGCGCCCTACCCCGCCCGTTAGCGCCCTACCCCGCCCGTTAGCAACCTGCCTCGCTCGTTAGCGCCCTGCCCGGCGCGTGCAACCTGTCCCGCACCGCGCACAGCCCTCCCTCCCCCACTTGCAGCCCGTCCCGCCGCGCGCGCAGTCCGCCCTACGCGCAGCCCATCACGCACCGTGCGCAGCCTGTCCCGCCCCACGCGCAGCCCGTCTTGCCCCGCGTGCAGTTCGTTCCACCCCGTGCGCAGCCCCTCCTGCCCGCGCGCAGCCCGTCCCCCTCTCCCTCCTCCCGCCCTCCTCGCGCAGCCCGTCCCACCCCACGCACAGCCCATCTCGCCCCGCGCGTTTCCCATCACAGCGCACTGCCTGCCCTGGCTCTCACAGTCTTCCCCGCACTTGCTGCCCCGCGCTCTGCCCGCCTTGCACTGCCCTGCGCGTGCAGCCCGCCCTGCGCTACTCGCCCCGCGCGCTACTCGCCTCGCGCTGCTCGGCCCGCGCTACCCACCAAGTCCCGTCCTCAGCAATCGTGCGCGTCGCCCACATGCAGCTGCACGTGCAGCAAACAGCCGAACGCACGCTAGCCGCCAGTAGCCGCTGCATACCCACCAGTAGCTGCGCAGGCGCCTGCTGCCTTGCGCGCACAGCACCAGCGACTCACGCACCTGCAGCCACACGCGCAACTGCAGCTCCCTTTGCACGCCTTTATAGTAGCGCACCTACAGTTCTGCGCACATTGCTTACCGTACGCGTTACCCCACACGTATGTACTGCCATAGTTGATCCCCGCGGCAGCTGGCAGCCGTAGTCTATTGGAGTAGGCTAGAGTTCTCCCTGGTCTTTATTTTGGTGTTCTCTTGTTATTTCGCCATGCTTAGAGCGAGTTACGCGTTCAAGTTCAATCAAGGTTCATTTTGTAGCTCTAACACAAACTAAAAACACCCTAAGTTCAATTAGGGTTTCCAACTCCTTTCTAGACTTGTACCTCGATACTTCTTGCTAGTACAACTTGTCAAGCTCACTAAGTCTCTCGCCATTTATGGCTCCTCTCACTTTAACATGTATCCAGAGCGTGGGCCTTGACGTCTCGTTCTGATCCACATTTCCTAAATGATATCAGGCCCTTAGGCCATTTTCGCACTACTTAGCTATACCTTCTTTTATTTCCCGTCACCCCTTAGCATTCGCAAATTTTTTTTTTTTTAAGTATTCATGTGCGGATGCCCCCATTTCAGCCTGTAGCACCCTTCCTACCGCGCATATTACCATCCCGCGCCTTCCCTCTTCATCATGCCTCCTCCTCCTCGCGTCTCCAACGGCCGCGCGCCTAGTTCCGCCTGAAGCGCGCTCTGCCGTCCCCCCCGTCCCCCTCCCGTCGCGCACGCATTGCGCGCCTACCAATGCGCGCGCTTCGCACCGTCCAGCAGCATGCGCGCCTGCCTTTCATCGTGGCGTGCCCTTCTCTTCCTCAGTCCGCCCACCTCCTTCACCCTCCTCCTCCTCTCCTCTCTTATTCTAGTTCCCCCCACTATCCCACAACCCTTTTCCCCCATAGCTCGCCCCACTTGTCATCCCTGTACACCTCCCCGCGCTCTACTGCACGCCATCGAACTACCTCTCCGCACAATCTGCCCCTTCACCCTCCTCCTCCTCTCCTATCCCCCTTCCTTCCCCCTCCCAATGTCACTCTCTCCTCCGCCTCTCTCTCCTCTCCTCAACTACCGCAGCTGGTTGCCGCCCTTGTTCTGCTACCTTTTATTCATCAAAACATACCCTTCCACCACCATCCGCCCCTTCACCCTCCTCCTCCTCTCCTCTCTCCCTTCATTCCCCTCCCCATCCCCACTCTCTCCCTTCGCCTCTCTCCTCTCGATTGCCGACTTGCTTCATAGCCTTGCTAATCAAGACCTACCCCTCCTCACATCCGCCCCTTCACCCTCCTCCTCCTCTCCCTCTCTCCTTCATTTCCCTCCCCATCTCACTCTCTCCTCCACCTCTCTCTCTCCTCTACTGCTGCAGCTGGTTGCCGACCTTGCTTCGTAGTCGTGCTCCTTCCCCACTCTTTTCCCTCCGCCTCTTGTTTCTCCCCTCAGCTGCTCAGCAGCAGACTACCCACCGCCTGTTATCCCTCTCCTCTTATTCCCCCCTCAGCGGCGCAGCAGCAGGACTACTCCGCTGTTATCCCTCCTCTTATTTCTCCCCTCAACGATTCAGCAGCTGACTACCTCGCCCCTATTCCTCCTCCTCTTATTCTCCCCTCAACGGCTCAGCATTTGACTATCTCGCCCCTAGTCCTCCTCCTCTTTTTTTTTTTGTTAAGGCTTAGCAGCTGACTACCTCGTCCCTATTCCTCCTCAGTCTTTTGTCTCCTCACATCTGCTCCATTGTCTCTCCCCTCACCCCTGATGGCGCCTACTTCCTTTGCGCTTCCGCCCTCACCCTCCTCTACCTCCTCTCCTATCCTTGCCTTCCCTCCCTCCGCTTCCTTCGCTGCCCCTTTCTCCCTTGCACCACCTCTCCTACTTGCCGCTGGATCCCCCCCTCTTCTCCACCCATACTACTTAAATCCCGCTGTCCCCGTCTGCGTTGCCGCTCTTCTGCCATTGTAACCTCTAGTATTGGTTCTCTGGCCTCTGTTTTCAGTGTGACCATGCCATCTCAGGATAGCATCCTTGGTGCTTCTCCTCTTATGGACCCTCGCTTTGTCGTTCCATTTTCTCCACCCCTTCAAGCATTGTTTCTCATTCTCCTAGCCCTACGGCTGCCGCTCTCTCACTTCCTCGCACCTTGGATTTTGTCCTTGACAGCGCTACTACTGACTCTGTCTTTCGTGATGCCGATGTCCCTTTGCAATTTTCCTCGTCCCCTCTCTATTGATGGGGCTGGGAGACCATGACCATGATCTGCACAGGCACTTCCTCTCTCTTCCCTGTCCTACATCTCCCACTGGCGCTGTTACCGGCCTTTCTGCTCCCTCTTGCTGTCATAACCTCCTATCCCTCCCTTCCCTCCAACGCCTGAGTGTGCGAGCGCTCTTCCCCACTAGGTGAACTCTATTGCAATCTTCATTACCATGACCGGCACCACGCTCGTTTCACCCTTTCTCCTACTAATTGCCTCTACACCTTTCGTGTTCCCATCCCTTCATCTATCCATCACGCTTCCTCTCCTTCTGCCCCTCCCGTCTCCTCTTGCGACCTGTCGCTCTCTCACCCAACCTACCCTTCTTCTCCATCACCATCTTGGTCACTCCAACTTCCTCTCCTTCACAACATGGTCAATTCGAAGCTGCTTCATAATCTCCCTTCCTCTCTCTCGCCCCTTCCCCCCTCGCGCGCTTCTCCATGCACCCCTTGTGTTCAGGCCAAGCTCTCCCAATCTCCTCATCTTTCTTCCCCAGCTGCCTCCCCCAAACCCCTTGACCTTGTGCATATGGACCTCTGGGGTCCCTCTCCAATTGCCTCCCATCTTTCTCCTTCTCGTTGACGACCTTTCTTGCTTTGCCACTGTCTATCCCCTCCGTGCCAAACCATGACGCCCCCTCCCTCATCATTCGCTGGGCTGAGCAGGCGCGTCTTCGCTTTGGCCGTCCTGTCAGCGCGCCTACCACTCTGATGGTGGTGGCGAGTTCTTTAGCCACTCTTCTCTTCTTACTGCTACTCCCTCATGGCATTCCGCCAAACCTCCAACCTTCTGCATTCTCCTAACAGAATGGCTGTTGCCGAGCGTACGTATTCGCACTCTCATAGAGATCACACGATGTCTCCTTGCTCATGCCTCTGCTCCTCACTCTCTTTCGAGCTACGCTCTTTTTCATGCCCACTTCTCCTTTCTAACCTTCGCCCTCATCCCTTCGCATCTTCCATTACACCCTTCCAGCTCTAGACTGGCCCGCCAGCCTTCCCACCCCCCTCTTCGGGTGTGGGGCTGTGTCGCTCATGTCCTCATCGATCCCGCCGATCGAGCACGTCAGGGTGGGAAGCTCGCTCCCAAGACCGCAGCTCTGTGCGTTCATTGGCCATCAACGGTGATGTCTCTGGACTATCTTTTCTATGCTCCCTCCTCTCAGGAGCTCATTCGCAGCCAGGATGTCATATA